GGTGTGTGTGTGTGTGTGTGTGTGTGTGTGTGTGTGTGTGTGTGTGTGTGAGTGTGTGTGTGTCTCTGAACTGAAGACGAGCGCAGGACGGATGCTCTGAGAGGTTTGATGTATTTCCTCCTGAAGCGGCACGTGTCCTGTGGGATTGTTTGCAGACTGGTGCCGTTCGGTATGTTGAGCAAGTGATATCTTTGCCGTTGTTCATTTCTGTCTCTCGTCTGGCCCAGTGTATGTCAAACTGACTGAACTGCCAAACATCACATATCACAATTTGCACAATATTTGTCTTTTGTTTAGCTTTTTTTGGGATATTCCTGGCTTTGTTAATTTAAGAAGTTGTCAGTTTTAGATACGTGTGCATTTCTTACATTTCAGAATAGCAAATGGGATTCTTAGAAGGCTAAACCTTGCATATGAGCACAATGGGCGTAAATGGGGATGAAGAAAGCTCAGCAAGGCTTTCATTGTTGGTCTGTATCTTGAGGAATGAAAGCTATTTGCGTTGTCTCTGTGGTTACTGGACTTCCTTGGGAGGCTTCCAGACGATTCCCAGCTCAGTTTGCACTCCCTCAGGAAGACTTCATAACTCAAAGCCACCGATAATAGTATCCTAGTTCTGTATTATGTGAAGCCTGCGCCCTTACAAACAACGTGTGCTATTAGTCGACGTGTAAGACTGAGGCTTGTTATGTTCAAGTAATTTTGCCCCAAAGAGGATTTTCTTTTTCCCTAAAATGCTAATGTTATTGCATTGGACTAAAACTTACTGGGTATAACAAGTCACCAAAAAACTTTTTTTTAATATTTTTTTCCACCTTGTTACATTTGTGGTGTTTTCAGTCAAAAATGACCAGCCTTTTAAAAAAATAGAAATTTCTCATTGTGCTACATTATCACCAAATAATGGATTCAATCTTTTTATCGATTTGTTTTCCTTCAGTTAGCACAGGTTTTGTATTTATTTTAGGAACTGATTGATTGTCAGCCTCATTGATCTCAGTTTTTGAGTGAACATTGTCACAATAATTATTCACAAATAATTGTTTTTATTGGTTCAAAAAACTGAGGTGCAATCAGCTCCAAAAAGAAACACAAAACCTGTGCTAACTGAAGGAAAACAAGTTGACCAAAAGATTGACTACAATATTTGGTGATAATAATATAGCATAATGAGAGATTCACAAGCAATTATTAAAAGGCTGGTCATTTTTTGGCACATCACAAGGGTTAAGGTAAATCCTTTTATTTTCGTATTGGATCAAGTTAAATATATAGTTTGTAACACTAAGACCTTAAACATGTAGTCATCTCCATGTTGTTCCTCTTATAAGATATCAAATAAGAAAAGAATAGAAAACTCAATATTATCAACAGTACACTAAAAATGTCCATTCTAATTACTTTTCTGCCAACCATGTGGATTGATAGTTAATTATAAAAGACTGAAAAGAATGAACTATAAAGGAGTGCTTTGAAGGAGCCGAAGGGGAGTGGCACGTCTTATTTTTTTTGTTTTAGCCACACAAACTGTCCTCTGTTGAAATGTCTACAGTGATCAGTGCAGATCTGCGGTTTGAGGGTCTGAAAGCACAGGACGTTTCAGAGGACATTTCCTCTAGCGAACACGGCTACCAGCACTCATTAGTTCTGCCTGCTTTATCCGCTCACAGACACTAACCCTTCATCAGCAGACCTCAAGAAAGAAGACACATCACTTGAATCGTATCAGGAAATGACCTAGGACATTATTGTATATCAACATCAGTAAAAGCCCAATAAAGAGCCTAATTACAATCGTGACGGTGTGATGATGAGTGTTGCAAGAGAAAGGAATTGGCTGTGTGTTCCTCTCAGGCCTCTCATTAGTGTTTAGAGATACGCAATTAGCCTCTTAAACACGAGCGTGTAATCCACTCAGATTACCCAGAGAGCTTTGTGCTCCGCACACGATCACTTTAAAGCATGACAGCAGGATTTAGGACGCTGCCTTTCAGCTGCTTTCTGGCGTTTAGCGTCGCCTGCGATGTCACGTCTGTCTCTATTGATTTTCAGAAACATCTTCAGTCTGTTATTACTGCTGATCCTTTGTTTCATGTTCAGAATCATGTTTGAAACAAAGAACTGTTTTTCAGATTTTCAGTGCATGATGCATAAGCCTTGTACAATGTGCAGCAATAGTAATTTACCTCTTTGCACTTTTTTTTTCAGACAGATCATCATTACAGCTGTTTTAGGTCTTTCACTATAGTTCACCCAAAAAAATTAATATTGTCACCTTGAGTTGTTCACATATTCTTGTTCTGTGACAACTCATTTACATTATGTGATATTTTTTAGGTTGTGTACATTTTGGGACTGATGTATGAAAGAGACCTGTTCCCCAAAAACTTTGAAGGCCAATATCTCGAACCTGCTCACAATGCAGATAGATACTTATAATTCCAAGGTGACGACATGTATACCTGTAGCACTCATTAGTGTACAACATATAGAAGAGTGATGGGGCTGAGCTTCCCTAAACCAGTAGCAATGGTCTGTACGATCTGCTTAGGCTTGCTGAAGATCACACCAGTTCTTCTCAGCGACCGCACCAAAACTCACTCAGCTGCTCTCCACACATATATGGTCTTATTTGGTGGTTTCAGTTTTTTCAATCAGTAAAATGGTCTAATATAAATCATTCATTTGAACATCTGATGTCTAAACAGTGTGAGGGCCTAATGGTGTCTGAATAATCTCAGTATTCCAATGATGCATTCATTTTAAGCCTCTCATGAACATTTTGAGACATGAATGCAGAAACAGATAATTCAAGTGAAGTTATTAAATGTAATTTCGGGAGGAGTACACCCATTTAATCTTCCAACTAATATCCAAGTATAATTCAACAGCCTCTTATCACTTCCATTGTTAGTTCTTTCAGCATTCCTCCTCCTCCCCATCTCCACCTTTTATGCATATTTACTTAGTTATCTTTCTGTCTATGTGGGGGGGGGGCTCGAGTAGAATATCCTTTCTGAGCCCCTCTATAGCAGACAACAAGCCAAATCTGTGTACCACTTACGCTAAGATTATATGGGCACACAAACTCGTGAAGTGCATCTAATTTTGATGTAACGGATCTGTAATGTCACTTCTGAAATTACATTACGTATGTGCATTATAATTCCAGGTTTTCTCTTTTTCTAGAGACTTGAGTGAGAACTTCATCCAGGCGATTCCCCGAAAGGCCTTCAGAGGAGCTACGGACATCAAGAACCTGTGAGAGCTCATGACACAACTGCACAGAGACCAGACTAAACCCAGATTCTGTTTAACCGTCGTTTCACTCGGTGTTTTACAGGCAGTTAGACAAGAATCACATCAGCTGCATCGAGGACGGAGCTTTCCGCGCGTTACGTGGACTTGAAGTTTTGTGAGTAGAAAAACACACGCAGTTAAAGATCACGCCCATCGTATTGACTCCATCTTAACACATATGAACCGAAATGGAACAGAATCCAACCTGTGGCATGAACAAGAGCGAGTCTGACCTTCTTTAGCATCCATCATCAATCTGTGGAAGGCAAACGAAAGTGTGCTAGAGCCACTGTGATCTCATTCATAATCACAGGACGTCTGCTTCTAGCACTCTACATTTTTATATGTTTGCGTCAACACTAAAACATGCATCGTTAAAGGACTGACAGCATGTAAAACAGCAGCGTTTTATGCCAACGTTAGAAATGGACAAATGTTTATGATTTCATCAGGATCATAGACTATTGAATCCATGACATTAGTTAAATCAGTGACGCTAATTACATATTTTAAATTCCAATATATTTCTTTAATGCATTTAATTAGGCGTGACAATAGTTTCATCCTGTTCTGTGTGATTTCACAATTCAGCCCCTTTGGAAGGTTTTCTTGACTTTACTTCAGCCTAAACGTAAAAGCCTGCTCTTACGAAAAAGAAGTTTATTCAAGTGTGCTATTAGTATACTTCTTTTAAACTAAAAATAGGAAAATCTACTTTGTCTATTTTTTATGTACTTCTCAGAAATATACTTAAAATGACATTTAAGTATACCTGACTTGTACTTAGAAAAATACAGTAGGGGGCGCTATTACACATCTTCTGTACATAATATCCAAAACACAAGCGAAGAAGAAACCGAAACAACAGATGCTTCCACATGTAATCTAACACGATCATCAGACATAAAACAGCATCAAAACTGTGTAATGTTATGGAATAAAATGTCGACCAATGAAGAGGTAACACTGACTGTCAAGCTTTGGGGTGTTGATCAACTCCATCTACATTTTGATTATCATTCTGAATCCAATTCATCGTCTTTTTTTCAGGGGTTTTTTCAAAATATTGCGTATTTATTTTTATATATTTTTTTTATTTATGAAACTTACCCACATTCGAGTGTTTATAAAAAAGAATGCATGAAGCTAGAATAAAATGTTTTTGTTTACAAGCAGATACCCTGTTCTTTTGATGTTTTGTATGTTCAGATATTCATATAACAAAAACTATACGAATTAATACCTAAATAGGGACATAGTAGTATAC